AAAGCTAATTTTTAGTTTAAAGCCATTGCCTTCAATTCATGCGATAAAACGATTGTTTCAGGCAGTAAGTGTTAGAATTAAGTAACGATTTCCGAAGCATCCATGAGCATTTGAACAAGGACATTATCATCGAATAAATATTCGCCCAATGTATCATCTGGGAATCACAAGGACACATAGAGTATTTATTTACAGAAAATTTTGATCGTTTCTACTTTGCTATTGATTGTGTACGAGTTTACCTCATGAGGGGGCGTATCCCCTAATTTTTTTTGTAATCCTCCAAAGTATCGTTTATATTTTTAAAAACCAAAAGCATCTCTCGAATAGCAAATATATCTGACGAATGACAAAAAATGCCGTTCCTATCAAAGAAAATTTTTGCTTGCAGGACCGCATTGCTGATGCGAGAACCAAATCGTTGCCTGGGCATATTTTCAATTACTGCCTTCGATACCTTGCCTGCCCCAATAATAAGCTCCTTATTCGGTGGAAAATGAAGGTAGGCCGCTGACAGTTTCGTAGGCCGCGGTTTTTTTTTTTTTTTAACTAAGTTTGACGATTTTGGCAAACCTCCTCAGTCTATATCAAATTGTCTTGATGTAAAAATAAATGCACCCAATTAAACACGATGCACTTTATTACCCTAATCTTACCTTGGGCAGAAAATGGAAAGCTTCCAAGAATAGTGAACAGTAACAACAGCCACAGGGAAGGCCTGGATGAAGTGTTCGTGCCCATATTTGATAATCCTTCCGCCTGAAGTCTGAAGAACTCACAAGAGGATGTGCTCTGATGCCTTGTGGTTCTGGCGATATGAAAACTATCAATTCAAGCTTGTTTTTAAGGTAGCTGTTTTCACTTCCAGGGATGCGCCGCGCCTTTGTTTAATCACTGTCAATTTTCTGCAATTTTAACAGGTTTTAACAAAAAGGGGTATGAAGCTAAGGTGGTTTTTACATCACCTCCTTTTTTTTTGCTTGTTTTTGTTTATTTATTTATCGTTTTTATATTATTTTTGTTCTTTTCGGATGGGAAAGGTCTGACCTCGCCTCAGCATCAATTAAGGATTTTAGGAGCCAGCGGTATAACAGCGGTTATGACCAAACTAAACACTATATGAGTGTTACACCACACTATAAGTGGAGTCGCCATATTGAAAACTGCATTGTCATTTCACATTGAAGACACTGAATTTTTCTTTTTTTTCACTTAAAATGGACAGAATATTACGGCTAGGATCTGGTGGTATTCCTGGAGTCGGGCAGGTTTGTTTATTTGTTGATACGTACGCTTTGTAACGTGAAATAACGATGTTTAGAAGCTTCACAAATCCTCGTTCAACACGTTGAAACATTTTTTTTTAACAAAGCTCGATTTTGACCCACTTCCCACGGCTGTATTTTGCGAAAATATGCTGTTGGCATAAGTTATGCTATTAGGACAAAACTAAGGATCGTTTTGTAAGCTTAACTGTATATAAATGATGAATATAACCTTGGGAATCTTCACTCTGAAGTTGACTTCAGCCCAAGTACTAGAAATGGGTCAAAATGCCGGTCTTTGACACCATCAACTGTATTTTTCTTAGAACTCTCTTTATCTGGACGTTCACCATGCAATTTCAAACCATTCAAACCGTTTACAATTTAACAATTCAGTTGTGTGGTAACACGAGGAAAGTTAATTAGCTTTATTTGGCAAGAGATTTTACTTACGTCAACAAAACAACGAGCCACAGTTTAATGGAAGACTAGAGTCAAGAAAAATGAAGTCACGTTGTTTGAAATTAACTTTTGTATATAGTCAATCTTGATTCCTACTCTTGAGCATATTTTGAGACTTGTCAGAGCACCCTTATCACTACATATCATTTAAATGTTCTGTGGAGATAATTATCTGATATGATCATATGTTTACTTTGGCCTTAGGCTCCTCCGAGTGATGCACCAGTTGTGGATACAGCAGAACAAGTTTATATCTCATCATTAGCTCTTTTAAAGGTGTGATGATATCATGCAGATGT